CATCTCATTTAATGTGTAAAATTACAGTCCTGTGACTTCATATCATCTCATTTAATGTGTAAAATTAGTCCTGTGACTTCATATCATCTCATTTAATGTGTAAAATTACAGTCCTGACTTCATCTCATTTAATGTGTAAAATTAGTCCTGTGACTTCATATCTCATTTAATGTGTAAAATTACAGTCCTATGACTTCATATCATCTCATTTAATGTGTGTAAAATTAGTCCTGTGACTTCATATCTCATTTAATGTGTAAAATTACAGTCCTGTGACTTCATATCATCTCATTTAATGCGTAAAATTACAGTCCTGTGACTTCATATCATCCCATTTAATGTGTGTAAAATTAGTCCTGTGACTTCATATCATCCCATTTAATGTGTAAAATTACAGCCCTGTGACTTCATATCATCCCATTTAATGTGTAAAATTACAGTCCTGTGACTTCATATCATCCCATTTAATGTGTAAAATTACAGCTTCTCATAAATATTGTATCACTATTCTTATTAGTAACAACCCTGATCGTATATACGTATTTATTGACGTTATGTCTGATCAGGTTGCCTATAATAATTACTAATTACAAACTTTCTAAATTTGAAATCCACTTATATTCAACCACTTAACTACCATTTTTTTTTATGTAAATTCTTACTCAGACTGTAATTCATCTGTTTGTAAGGTGCAATCTCACCTCTTTTAAAAAGTCTAACAATATTAAATAGCTTATAACCCAGAATTTCAAAATAAATACTATTATCAATGTTCTCCAAACCTAACCAGGTTTCAGTAATTCCCATTATAACAGTATTCTGTTTCAACTACAGTTCTGAACTCATCATTTTGTTCCTAATACTCCTAATTTAAAATCATCATTGTTTATCTGTAAATCATCTTTAAAACTGTACTTTGTTATGCTTGAAATATCTTATTTCCAACTTTCCCATTATCCTATCAATTTATTTATTCCCAACTTCCCTCACCACTATGCAAGTTTAAACTATCTTTAATGAACATATTTAAAACTTCCTCAGAAAAACTACTACCTAAACAACTTAAGTGAAGACCATCTCTAGCTTATAATTCACCCTTACCCTCATAACTATTCTACAGGTCCTTCCAGCACACCTCAATCTTTCATTTAAGCCTACTAAGTAATCCATTTCCACATATAGCCTGAGTGAGAGCTCCCAACAGGACCACATGTTTATTTCTAACTGTAACCCTCCTGAAATTGTTGACACTTATGATTTACAATTTCCAACATCATTTGCTCCTACATGCACTACAAAAAGATCCTGTCTATCCTTTGGAAACAAAAAAAAATATTTTTGTCTATACTTATATATAAAGCACAGGTGTCTGTATGTCATCTAACTACTCCTAGGTTGCTAAGCCAATCTCAACCAAACTTTGTGATATGATAATATGGAACAAGGGGCATGTCAATTGTGGGTTTACAACCCCCTCCACCCTTCCTTTATTACTATTATCGAGCATTTATTATCTTTGATATCAGTTAATGTTCACTACATTCATTGATAGCACAACATCAAAGAATAAAATTTTTTATAATTATTATATTTTCTATAACACAACATGCACGTGCGTGTGTGGGTTTTGGGGGCATACAAACATCTTATATATATATATATATATATATATATATATCTCAGAGAGTGTACTAGCACTCTTATTGG